TGTTTACTTTTCATCTGGAAAGGCTTTAAAAATAAATAAAATATACAAAGGTTTGGCTTCAGATGCGCATTCTTGACTTTCGCTTTGCCTTTCTTAAAATTATCATTGGTGGTCAAAGCATATGGCTGTGTGTGGAAAAGAAGGGAGAACTGCAGTGTGTGGCGGTGGTGGTGGTGGTGGTGGTGGTGGTGGTGGAAGGGGGGGTCCGGTCTCTGTGGTCAAGTCTGTTCGTGGATGTTTGGAAGGCAGGAAAATACGATTCCAGCTGAATTACAGTGAGTAATATACTGAACGCATAGCATTGTATGTTCTTGTGTAGGCAAAAGTAGGTAGCGAGAAGTTAAATCCTATTCTCACTTGTGCTTTATTCTCACTTGTTGCTTTGACTTCAGGATATCATGAAAATTGGAAGCAGTTTGGCTCACTGTTTTGAAAATAGAAATTTCTTATTCTTCCAGCTGTAAAGTACCCAGTGACTCATGAGATGGTAAAAGCCCTCAGCTCCCTGTGGGACTCTTACCAGAGCATCCGCTGGGAGCAGAGAGTGGAGTTATACTGCGGATGGTTGCTGAAGGGCTTTGGCATCGCCGTTATCACCAGTTCCCCGTTGCTCCTGGCACTGGGAATTACACATTCCCAGGGGAAAATTGCAGGTTGACTCCAACTGCCTTACACAGGGTGTTATCTGTGGGGAGCTGGTGAGAGGCACAACCCTGAGCCTCTGCCTGCACTGTTGCGGTGGGGCTGGAGAGGGCAGCGGAGGTGTGCCTTGCCGTAGGGCAGATCGAGGGGTCATGGCCTACCACACAGCATTGCCCTTTCCGTGGCACATGTGGCACAGGGACCGTACAGACCCCTGGTAGACCCTAGGGACGTGAGCCATGCTGGACAGCCCCTGCTCCAAACCAGAAGGATGCTTGACCCTACCAGGATCCTCGACCTAGCAGGAGAGCACGCTAACTGCTGTGGAAACCCCACAGCAGGGAGATTTCCCAGGAAGGGCAAATGGTGGTGCTCGCTGCTAAAGTCAACTGCTCCCTCTATCCTTGGGGCAGGGAGGACAAAGGTCAACCAAATAGCTAAAGGAGGCAACTGAATTGTCCTCCACATGACTGTGGTTCTTGACATTGTACCACTGCCTGTATTTGAGTAACTTAGCAAACGCCGATTTGGCCATCAGAACCATGAGGAAGTATAGCCAGATTGCCCCTGCGCTGCCGATAGGTTTATCTTTCTAGTGGTACCTGGTGGTCCAGCAATAGGGATCCTTCGGTTTGCTTCAGTGGGACTAAAACTGATTTCCAGGGGTATCAAGAGCGCGGGGTATTGAGGTACCTAACCAAGGCAGTGCTCAACACACAACATGCCACAGACAGGCTCTTCAGGTCCTTTTTTTAATATTTCAAGCTGAGGTCCATACTTTGCAGCTAGTGGTTAGTCCTCTGTATGTGACAGGGACAGAGGTGTTTTGAGGAGTGAGTTGTAGAGCTGTCAGGAAGCAGTAACACAGATATCCAGGATATCTGTGTTGTCTTGTTATTATAATATGCAACTAACTTTATTTTTTCTAACTGTTAAAAAATGAATGTGCTTTCTGTGTTACTGGCTACAAAGCAGGAGGAAAACAAAAAAGTATATGGCTGAAAGATATTACCTGGAAATGTTGCTGCCGGAAGAGAATAGATTTTGATTTATTACATTATTATTTCTATTAACTTTCAAGTGGCTTGTGAGTGATATTCGTTCCCCGAGAGTCCTGGCAAATAATAATGTTACAGCCTCCATTGCCTTGCCACTAGCCTGTCAGAGGCAAAGATTTACTTTTGTGATACTAAGTTTGCTGTAATAATTTTAAGAGAAGAAGTAATTACGAACAATGGAGGAGACCCTGTCTGATTTCTGCTGATGGAGTGCATCGTCCATGCCTTCAGCCAGGGGAACTGGTATAGCACCATTGCCTTCAGTAGCGTCATGACAGTTTAGAGCTGCTGAGTTGTGGCTGATAAAGTCCTAAGTCTGGCATATAATTTTCTTCATAGAAAGAAATATATTTATCCTGTGATAGACAGTATGATAACTCTGTTTGGAAAAGACTTACAGAAACATTTATTTTGTTGCATGTGGTGCTCTTAAATGATATGAATATGATTCTCTCAGGCAGCCATCAGCCAGTCTGGTGAGTATTGCTAGTTGAGCTATCTTTAACAAATACTTTTCTAGTCAAATGTAATTGTTTATTTTACAGTGGAAGGCACTTGCAATTCATATGGACACAGTGGCATTTTGTTATAAGCCATTACAATGAAAGACTGTGGTAGTTTCTGTGATAACAGTGTGCAAATTGTAACAATTGCAATTAGATTGAACCTTAGCTGAGGTGAAGTTGTTCTGTTGAAGAGCTTCGCTGTTACTATGCTTCAGAAAAGAGGTCAACAACTCGAGGGCCCAATTCTGCTCCTGGGAAACGAGTGAGATGGTTGCTGTCATCTTCAGAGTAAAAAAGACTGAGGACACCAAGCAACAGCTGTGTTTCTTGGGTAATGTGTCTCTTCGAGCGGGTCTCTTCACCAGAGTAGTTTGGACCTAAGAACTAGAATGGGGAAATAATAATAATAAAAGTTTAAATAGTAAATTATTTTCTCAGAAAATAATTTTAAAACATCCTGAATGTACTAAAGAATTCAAGTCAATTCACTGTAGGCTTTTGTCAGATTACTTCTTTTCTGAAGGAGAGAACCCAGGAAAAGGGAGGGTGGGAAGATAGGTTGTGGGTCATCCTTTAAATCCCTTTACATTCATCTGGGATGTGGTTTGCTCCTCCCCTCTTCCAGAAGGCACTTGAAAATGCATCTCCTGTTTTTCAGGTGCCCAAAACAGAGTGCTGGAACAGCAGCGGCTCACGTGTTTTTGTGATCTTAAGATACAGAATATAGAATTATAGAATTATAGAATCATAGAATGGTTTGGTTTGGAAGGGACCTTAAAGATCATCTAGTTCCAACCCCCCTGCCATGGGCAGGGACACCTTCCACCAGATCAGGTTGTTCAGAGCCTCATCCAGCCTGGCCTTTAACGCTTCCAGGGAGGGGGCATCCACAACTTCTCTGGGCAACCTGTTCCAGTGCCTCACCACCCTCACAGTAAAGAATTTCTTCCTTATATCTAGTCTAAATCTACCCCCTTTCAGTTTAAACCATTACCCCTCGTCCTATCACTACACTTCCTGATAACGAGTCCCTCCCCATCTTTCCTGCAGGTCCCCTTTAAGTACTGGAAGGCTGCTATTTTCCAACAAAAGTACAGAACCTCTGTATTAAACTTAAGCCTGTTGACGGTAAGCCTACTCTGTTACCCAGAGTAAATCAGATATTCCTTGGGATGTACAGGCTGCAGGTTGAAAACTCTTGGTGTGCTGGTCTCTAGCAGAGGTTGATGTCTATCAATGTCTTCCTTTGATACCCTTCTATCCTTCGGAAGTGTTTTTCATGTGTTTGGGAAATGCTCGTGACCCTTAAGTAAATAAATGGTAAGGTCAGGAGCTGTAGCTCTTAAAGAGTTCCCTAAACTAAACTATTTCATTTTGGGCCAGTGGAAGGTGTCCTCCCATCCAGCAAAACTTTTTATTTTCTTACCTTTCCCAGAAAAAAATTAAATCTTTACAAATTTGGTTCAGATGGAACCAGTTCTCTCCGCATTCCCCATCCTGGTTTGGTTATGAACCTGAAAAATTGGCTGCCTGTTCATCCTCAATACGTGTGTTTGGGGCATGAGCACTGATTCTCACTGCAGTATGCAGCAACTAAACTGTAATATTTGTGGTAAAACAGTAAGTGCTTCAGACATCTTCTGATATTTTTACAAAGCTGTGCAGATGTCTTCCAATGTTTATATATGGCAAAGGAAAAAAGACAGCTAGGAAGACCTGCTGTGAAAATGCAACCTATCAAAGTCCGTGGGAAAACGTTGCAGTTAATCTAAGTCATAACTTAAAGAAGTAAATTGAGAAGGACAGTTAAAGCTGATATAACTATTTTTATTTTAAAAAAACCCGACAACATTAAATGTATGTCTTGTATACACATGCAAAGGAAAAAAAAGTAAAGTGAACCATAAAGAAAAGCGATACCTACAAAGATGTGACTTGCTGTTTATTTTAAAACACATAGCAGAAATCCAACTAGTTTGAATGGAAAGTAGGATTGGTTTTATGATGACGGGCTTTCAGAGCATCTCCTAATTGTAAATAGCCTAATTTTGTACTGTTAAGGGTAGGAAGTTATTTTAGGCACTGGCAACATGCACACTGGCAGCAAGACTTGACGCCAACTCTCTCAGGCTCTTTGCTACCTTAGGTCTGCATGGGGAGCAGGGGCAAGCTTAGAAAGCAGTGAGTTTGCCCTGCCGCTGCTCAGGCAGCCATGGTTGGGTGGTGTTTTGGTAGCGCCACATACCCTTAGGTCTTTTTGAGAAGGAGTGAGCCGGTTGCTGTGCACACTGGGGCTTGCTGGGGCTGTTTGCTAGTCCTTCTCACCGCTCCTCCGCATTTTTTTCAGCATGAAAGTTTTGTAGGGGGAAACACCTATGAGCAGTTCTCCACATTGCCCTCATATTTCCACAGCAGAGCTGCATCTCTGCAGAGTGTGACCGATGGCTTACGCACAGCTACCTTGATAAGCATGCAGCAACGCTAGACCTTGGTGCCCCGTCGTAGCCAGCGTCCCTCTTGGCTCCTGGGTGTATGTTGCGTCTTGAGCACCCACGCGGGCCGTGGGTGACATTGGAGGACAGTGAGATTTATGTTGCATTTGTTGTTTTTGTTTTCAGAGCCTGGTTTGCGAGCCAATCTCCCGAATTAATATGCAAGGCTTGCTGGAGCTGGGAATACCCACCGCCGGCCCAGAGGAGTGCTTGGAGGGACGTGGCTTGATCTCCCTCTTGTGGAAAATTATCGGAACTAAATTCTCGTGATACTAAAGAAGAAGTCCAGCATTGGCGAACAAATGATGGCAGCAGTTACCGTGCCACCTGATGCTCTTGTCGGCCCTCAAGGAAATGAAGAGATGGACTCTCTGATCGTACTGCATTATAATCACACAGGAAAGCTTATTTTAAGGGAAAAGGCAACTGATAACATAGACCTGCCCACTATTGCATTTCTGATTCTATGTAGTTTCATAGTCCTGGAAAACTTGATGGTGTTGATTGCCATATGGAAAAACAATAAATTTCACAACCGCATGTACTTTTTTATTGGCAATCTAGCTCTCTGTGATCTTTTAGCCGGGATTGTTTACAAAGTGAACATTCTTATGTCTGGGAAGAAAACTCTCAGCTTGTCCTCCACAATCTGGTTCATTAGGGAAGGCAGTATGTTTGTTGCCCTGGGAGCCTCCACTTTCAGCTTACTAGCGATAGCTATTGAGCGGCATTTGACCATGATTAAAATGAGGCCTTACGATGCGAATAAAAAATACAGGGTGTTCCTTCTCATCGGTACATGCTGGCTTATTTCAATTTCCTTGGGTGCCTTACCCATCCTCGGCTGGAACTGTATAAACAACTTAGCAGATTGCTCAACAATTTTGCCTCTATACTCCAAGAAGTATGTTGTGTTCTGCATTAGTATCTTCATAGCCATTTTGGTTGCCATTGTCATCCTTTATGCCCGTATCTACATCCTGGTAAAGTCCAGCAGTCGTAATGTCACTAACCACAATAATTCGGAGCGGTCCATGGCGCTCCTTAGGACTGTTGTGATTGTTGTTAGTGTCTTCATTGCCTGTTGGTCTCCTCTGTTCATTCTATTCCTCATCGACGTGGCCTGCAGAGTCAAGGAGTGCTCCATCTTGTACAAAGCCAACTGGTTTATTGCTCTGGCGGTCATCAACTCTGCAATGAACCCCATCATCTACACTCTGGCCAGTAAGGAAATGCGTCGGGCTTTCTTTCGCCTTGTTTGTGGCTGCCTGGTGAAATCCAAGGTGGCCAGATCTTTGCCTATTCAGCCCACGCCAGATCACAGTCGAAGTAAATCCAGCAGCAGCAATACCCAGAAGCCAAAGGAAGATTTCCCACCGATGAATGTGCCCTCATGTATCGCTGAGAAAAATGAATCTTCATTTCACAACGGAAACTTCTGTAAGTAAAGGACTCCTCAAGACAAGTACCTTTTTGTGGCTTTTAGATTTAAACTACAAGTGTAGTTTAAGCATTCATGCACTTAAGTCACAGGAGAAAACACTAACCACTCACGTAACTTTGAGGACTTACTTATCAACAATCATTTGCTTTGGGTGTTCGTTCAGTAACCCACCTGATTCAGAAGAAGCCTTTCATGTTACCCAACAGCCAGGACATGCACATCTAACGACATTGTGCGCCACGATGGCATTGCATGATGAGGCTGCGTTTGGCAGTGCGTGATCTTGCAAGACATCAAGAAAACCTGTTAGAAACTTCAGCATTCACTAAACACTGCTGACGATCAGAAAATGAGCCCAATTATTGCCGACTGGGAGAAAAGCTCATGACGTATGTTGATGATTATAGTTCTCTATATGTATCTTGCTGTTACGTTAATGGCCTTATATGTATGTGGTATAAATAGCTGTATATTTGTACAATTCCTTATTAAAAAGTCATTGTTTGGTTAAAGTTTACACTATGCTAAACATTGTATTGCAGTATACAGTGTAAGGTGACAAATTATACAAATAAATAGATGTGTTTCAATGGGGATATTTGAAAATATATGAAGTAGTAGCTTTTAACTGACAGGAACTTTAACATGTCATATCAATGCAGTATTTTTATTTTTTCCACTGTTATTCAAACTTTTAATGTTTAGTGAAAGACAACATGACAGTTGTCACTGTGACATTTCACAATTTATTTTAAACAAGCAGTAGTAAATAACCATTGAGAGAGACTATATATGTTCGCTATTTAAAGTAGTTAAAATGTGACCCAACAATACACGTGTATCAAGTTTATGTACTGTTTCAATGCATATATTTTTACTTACTATTTCCAGTGTATTTAAAAACGTATGTCAAACCTATGTAAACCTGTGTACATTGTGAATGCACTACCTAAACTGAGATTCTTCAGTTCTGAAACAGAGACGTATCATTTCAGAAAGCAATGAACCACAAACGGGTCCCTGTGGAGTTCCTTCTTTTCTCTTGAGGCACTACTACAGCATGGGATTGTGTTAGAAATTCTCCCTGGGAAGAAGTCCAGCCATGGGACAAGATCCCATTTTCTGGCAGTGGGACCCTACACTCCTACCGTCTCTGGGCACTTTTGCAGATTCAAGAGGGAAGATGCGGTACAACAGGATCATGCTGAAGGGCACGTCTCCATTTTACCTGACCCTGCCTTGGATCTGGAATGAAAGCCTGTTGAGTTTGGAAGACCTTCCAGCTTTCCTGGAGCCCCAGACTTATCCTTTTGAGAGGCTGTTCCAGAGAAACCTGTATGAAAACAACTTTATGGTTCATCATTGCCTTACCAGTCTCAGTACAGGATGGTGTTCAGCATCAGAGGGATTCCCTCAGACCTAGAGCACTTAAGACTTCATAAACATCTGGTTTCAAGTCCCCATGGAAGCGGCCCATGGTACTTCCATCAATATGACTGGAGGCTTCAGTGGAGGTTGACGGGAAATTCTGAGATTAGTTCCCGTTGTCTTTCGGTAAGAATGTAAGCATCTAACTTTATTGGGCTCTTTCAAAGGTTTGTGTTTAATATCTCAAACCACACCTTGCCTTATGCACAATCAGAAGTAGTTGAGGCTTCTTTAATACACAGCCTGAAAGAGCTCATCCTTAGCTTTACTCTGGTCTTAATCATTTAAAGCAGCAGCATTAGACTCTTCCCAAGTACATACAGTGTATAAGTTGTGTAATGTGCGTAGCAAAAGCCTTTAAAATGTAGAGGTTTGCATTGTGATTATCTTTTACAAGTTAACAGTCTGCCTGTAAATGTTTTACGCTGTTAGAAAAGTGTAAGAACAAAGAAAAACTGTATTTGAATGAAATAACTGTGAAAGAGAGTAGTAAATACGAAATAATTTCTACCAAAAATGTTGAAAAGCAGTGCACTTAGAGAAGAAGAAAAAGCTAAACTAAGCTAAGCATGATATAACTATATGAACTGCAAATACAAGCTGGGTCAGCAGCTCTGTAGCTCTGTGAGAAATAGAACTGGTGACATTGCATTGCCATGGCTTGCTTAGGTTTTTAGATCTCGCAGTGCTATTTGGCTGTATTTTCAGTGTGGAAGTTCTCCCCTGAAGTTGTTTCTTTAAAAACTGCCAGCTAAAACACTTGTATACTTCTAAATGTTAGTTCGTGAGGTGGAGGCACGTGGCAGCGTTCCTTGCTACTGTAGAGCAGAACGGCCTTAGCAATACAACAGTTTGAGAAAACATTGTGGCTGACCCCACTCCAACTCTCATGTCAAGGATGTTACATGATTCTCACTATTTAGGTGAAAAAACTGAATATTTTTAATAGCCAAAGTCCAAGAACATGCACATAATAGTGAGTTTTAACATGTGGATTCTAGCCTTAGCTATTGTCAGAGATGATGCAAGGTACAAGTAATGCAAGCAACTCCACTGTTGGAGGCCACGTGATTGCATGTCAGTACAAAAACCTTTCACTCTACTTTGATTTCCTTGTCTTATTTTGGAGCTGTGGGGATATTTTATTAGTTCACTACCCTGCTGTACTTGAAGCAGGCTCCTAAGATTCATGAGTTCACATGTAACACTGATAATATACTTTACAAAGTACTTAACGACTGAAGAGAAAAAAACTCTTGTGGATACCATCTCCAGTGGGTACATCCCACCGAGACATATTAGGTAAAGGACAGATTCTGGAAGATTTCAGAGCAAAATTTTGACATAGGACAAGTCAAGGGCTTAGTGACAGTGGACCGTAAACAAGCAGGAATATGTCCTATCCTTGAAGCTGGAAAAAGATGAACAGCTTCTTTCACCATAAAATATTAGAAAATTCTTTAAAATAATCCCAGAATCCAAGCTTTTTATCATCTAGGCTGATTTGAGCATACAAGAAACTGAATCAGGTCTCCCTTTCCCAATTGGTTTTATATGAAGCAAAAGCTACAAAGGAGACTAACATTTCATTCATATTACTTCATGAATTGGAATATTTATTTTGGTTCTGGATTACAAAACAAATGCAAATGAAATCACCTAAGGAGAAAAAAAGCTTTCACAAGATGCTTTCCAGGAGTCTTTTATTGCCAACAGTCTTACAGAGTATTTTCAACTCATTAGGTACCACAGACATTTTGAAAACTTTTAATTAAATCTCAAACCTTTGAACCGAAGTTGTTGTGTAGCAGTCATTTTTCAAAGAATTGTAAAGAAGGTTTTGGCCGCCTATGGAAAACATGCATTTAAACTGGGTGTCGTGCCTGAAAGCAGTTCCTGTGGGAACGCCGTGCAGCCGAAGGCGGTAGGCTCTGCCTCTGCCGCCCACGGAGTCGGAGGGAGGCTTTGCCCCGGCTTTCCTGGGAGCAGACTCGTCCCTTGGCTGCCCTGCTCAGAGGGCTGCCTGCTCCGGCAGCACCGTGCGCGGCTGCTGCCGCCTTGCAAAGGCACATTTTACAAGGAGCGACAGTAATTGGGGTGTCGCGCTGCCTACAGAGTTTGTCATTTCCGACAGCTCTGGTAAGGAAATGGAAAACACGCCTGTGCATAAAGTGCCAGGTGCCACAAAGCTGGGGTCCTGAGAGCAGCCGGTCTGCCCCGCTGAGCGGAGCTGTGCTGGCGTCCACCCCGGGTGCTGCCATTTAACCCACCAACACCACGAAGGGCACGGCTCGGCCCCTTGACTTTGCTGGGACCCCACGGCAGCCCCAAGCTTGGGGACGCTCCCTTCTCATGGCAAAACTCATGGGGGGCAGGCGCGGCAGCAGCGATCAGGGGTTTCTGTTGGGCCACCGTTGAGTCGTGAAGCTTGCCGCAGCCCTGAGGCCTCCTGGCCCCTGAAGTGGGCTGGAGGCACCGTGCAGAGGCATGCTGGTGCCCACGCTGCCTTCAGAGCTGCATTTCTTCTCCCCAAGAGCAACATAACTCTCCGGGCTCAGCTTTTCTCCGAGTGGAGAAGAGAGAAGAAGGAGACACTCGGGCAGCGGAGGAAGAGGATTTGGGGAACATCAGCCCAGCTAAGCTTCCATCTGACATGGAGCCTTTCTCCTCCTAACAGTACACTAAATAGCTGCTCTTGCATGGACCTTGTCCTTGCAGTCGCTCTCCATGGAAGGACCTTGTCCTTGCAGTCGCTCTCCATGGAAAGACCATGGAGTTGGCTATCCTTGGCTACCCTCAGCTATTCAGTGTGCCAAACAGGAACGCTACCTTTTCAGGAGAGGACATCATCTGGCCCAGAAAGGGCCTGTACGAGCCATTACTTGCATCGTGAAAATTGTATTTGTCAAAAATGAACTTGTGGAAATCAATGTTGCCCCTGTCAAAGTAAGTGGAGCTCCTCTGGTGTGAAGTCAGTGTAACTGAGGTCAAACTCCCCATGTGCCATTTGGTCCTCTGACATTTTTCGTCCCTGTTTCTACTGAGATGAGTAGTTCATTAACTTATTAATATTCAATATCCAGGTAAACCCTGTTGAATTTCATATTTTCTGCTACAAAACGGGCATCTCTTCAGGTAAATAAAAAATCCCCAAAAAACAAATTAGGCCATTAGGGAACCTGGGCATAGGAGAAGAGACTCAAGCCCACTTTACATGCAATTCGATTTGATAGTAGTGCTCATTATTTTATTACTTTGGTTAATCATATACAAACTGAATAATCAGAAAACAGTTGCATGACACTTATATTCCAAATTCTGTTGTTCAAGGACTTCCTCAGAGACAAAATTTGCCTCTATAACCAGAATACCACAATCAGCAGACAGGCAAAAACTTGAGATTCACAAAAATCGTTGGGAATATAAATGATCACAATATTTCCACATACATTATTTTTCCTGCAATTCTCAGTTAAAAATGTTTCTAAAAGTAATAAATATTAATAAATAACAAATGTACAGTCAAACTCCCTTTTACAACAAAATAGTCACCTTTTTGTCTTGTTGTTGCTGCCC